CATATTTTAAATCACCATAAAATGAATCAATTTTCCTATTGAATGTTTTATTTTAATTTTCATTTGTTTATTTCATGCCAATTTGCAATTAAAATTACTTTACTGTTGATCAAAGAGGCAGTAATCTTGCCATGTATTTCTCATTAAATAGTTTTATTGAGTTTCAGAGAAAATAAATTTTGAGAGCTTAATTTATGTTATAGTAGGCAATCATAAATCAGAATCAGATTTATTTGATTTTTCACATTCTCTATACTGCTTTCAAGTGTGTTCAGGTTGGTGCTAGATTTTCCGGGTGTTTTACTTTTATAGAACAAAAATTGAGGTTGTGCAAACAAACAAAAATATGGGAAGAGAAGTGTTTAAAAAAAAATTATTTAGCCTAGTAGTAGTAGTGCAGTGAGTAAAATACTAAACCTCACTTGACAGTGATGTAATATTAAGCTTTTGATATTCTCTTAAATTATTCCATATACTGTATCATTACATTAAGATCTATGCATTCAAAGTTATCTATATATGAGGGTACATGCAATATATGAAGTAACCCTCTTTCAAATGCCTTATATTACTTGAACTCTCTGTAGCCTAGCTATGAACCATCTAGATTCATATTGGTTTTTTACTAATTATTTTTGTGTTTTGAAATAGAGATTGCATTTTAACTTGCATTTTATATCATCTAATGAGCACAGAATTGGAAAATGTGTATGTCAGTAGAGCCTGAATTAATTTCTAGTTAAAAAATTTATGAGGAGATTAGTAGAATTAATAATGTGTGCTATCTGGTAAGCTTGTCATATTATTCATTAAAGTCCTCCTTCTCAAGTACTGTATACTATTCTATAGTAACGGTTGGATAATAATAGTGTCCTTTTTTTGCAGTAACAAAAAGGTAAATAATAATAGTCTAACTGAGGATATTAAAAAAGAAATCTGAAACACTAATGAAGAGCCTAGCAATGCCATTGCATCATTTGCTTGCAATTTGAGAACACTAACAACCAGTGGTTAGCGGGCATACTCACCAATGCTCTAATGATATTGCTATCTAAATGTATATTAGTATTCTTCCCCTGCATTGCACATTCTTCCCCTATATGCTATTTATTTTAAAAATTCCCAGTAGAGTTAGTTGTTGCGTGCCTGTCTCATGAGCTTTGCACATAATTAATTTCAATTGTCCATTCACCCTTCCTGTAGAAAATCTGTATAGCCTAGCTCTCCATCTTTGATTGGTTATATTAAAGCGTGTGACATTATTCAAACATCTTTAGTGTACTTGTTGGCCTATACTATTTATATATATCAAATTGTGAGTAGGGCATTGCAGTTTTGTGGTATCGTTACAGTGTTGATTTTAAATTTATTTATATATTCCCTTATTGAGTAATTTATTAGCTTAATATTTGAACATTTTGAGTGAACTTAAAATTAACATGTTAAATGATGAATTTAAATCAATCCTGCTTTTATTTTCTTTATTTTAATTGTTCCTTTTTTCTAATAAACAATAATTTTACATAAATTAATAACAGTTAATAAAGTTACTTATTAGGTGACAGTTAAAACAATTTACATCTTAATTATAGGCTTATTTAATTCTATTATTATTATCATTTATTGTTATTATAATTGTTCTTATTATGAATTATTACTATTATTATTAAAGTAAGTAGTTAGGGATGTTTTTTGTATCATATTCTGGGCACATAAGGATAACAACAGTTGGCTCAACTGAGTCGTTCATCAAGGATTAAAATAAATTTTTTTACAAAATGTTTCCTGTTCAGTAAAAATACCGTATAATATTATTGTGGTTTAGTAAAAACAAATTTTGATTTACAATATTATATTTATTACCAGATTAAACTATTCCATAATATTTCTGTAAAATTCATAAAGAACTGTTCAAATTGTTTTAATCTAGTCTAATATAGTCTAATTGGTAGATGCTACATTTTTGATCTTGGGCAATCTGTTTTAATTGAATTTTGGCCGATTTTCTATATTTCTTCTCAGACAGTTCATGCTTAATTCATGTCCCACAAGATGTTCACATTATGATATATTGATGACGGTACCAGTACGGCAGTGTTGATGACATTCACCATCAAATACACTGTACAGTATATAAGCTGCCGATACTATAATATGCAAAGCCTAGAGACATCTGTAACCACAGCTGCACCATTTGATAGGCAGTGCTACCTAATGTTACAATCTTATCCTCCAATTTTCATACATATTTCATATTTTGTTGTCTTTTTTAGTATTCGACAAATAGCTTCCACAATATTTATCATATTTGAATTTCAGTTCAGAATAATATAATGCTTCAGTGCTATTATTATTTGATATTTTAAATAAGTAATTACAGTAATTTAATTTTTGATGGTTTTCTAATTTTTACCCAATGTGGTATATAAACAGATAATTTTAAAACACAATTGAGATTCACATGTCTATTAAACCAAGGACTTTTATCGGTACAATTGAAAGTCCTTGTATAACAATTAGTTCTTAGTACTACGTACAAACAACATCATTACTTCAGTGTTTCTGTTTTCATTCTTGCTACATTTTCAATCATAATCATGTCACTGATCCTACATTAAGTGTTCAAACATTTAGCATTGCCACTTACCTACATCACCTGCATTTTTGTGTTTGCTATTACATCTTCGTTATTGCAAATTATGGCTACTGTTTGTTTATGCATGATTGATAATCAGATAGAAAGAAATACATGATAATAGGAATACAAAACAACTGTCTCAAAGTAGTTGAAACCCAACAAGGGGTCCAACTTGTCCGACGGAGGGGTCCGAGCCAAGGGTCTGACAAGGGGTCTGACGGAGGGGTCCGAGCCAAGGGTCTAACAAAGCCTCAGTCAATGGCCCGGAATAAAAACACCCTTGTAGGGTTCATGGATAGAGTTTTTATAGTATGCTCCAAAATGTGCTTTCAAACCACAATATTAGGGATTCGCAGTCAAAATAACATTATTTGGATAGGCAAATTATAATTTTTTTTATTTTTGATCCGACTACTTAGTTGTGCAGCTGGGGCCATCACTGGTTGGTACATGTGCCTATTATATGATACAACTTACAATTAAATGTTTGAATTTGGGTTGATGATGTCATAGTCTATTAATTGAAATGTGCATAATTATTATTATGTAGGGGGATAGGTAATTCTTTTTCATAATTCTCCTTATATATTTAATGTTGTTATTCAAGTGATATTTAATGTTTTATGCGTACTGGGCCCTCCGGGAGAACGTTAACATTTTACTAAAGAGTAACTCACTATAAGAACAAATAAATAAATAAACAAATAAATGTTTGTTGACCAATTGTCAATTAGTATTACACAGTATTTTATGAAGATATACAGCCTTTTATTTATCAGCCTTAATATACATAAGTAAATCGTCACATTTATACTGAATTTTTACAAGGAAAAAAATAAACCCACTAGAGATATTATTTGTTATTATTTTATTTGTTTTCATTTTATTCAATACGATTTTTCACATTCACTTCTCAGAAACTTGAGTCCATTGTAACACAAATTTTTATGAAAGTTCATCACAATTTGTTTTTCTAATCATGGCTAATTATGTGAAAGGATGTGAAGTAATACACAGTTCACTTGAAGTCCACAGTTGTAGACAATTAGCATATTATTATTATTACTCTTATTTTGTGATGTAAATTGCTATATTTTTCCCAAGAGAGGAGAAATTTGATTTTTTTTTTGCGGTTTATCAGTGAAGTCTTCATTTATGTTTTTTGTTAAATGTGAACAGCTCTACTGATCATACTACAGTGGTGAATGAATGATACATATTCCAAAATCCCATGAGAAAAGATGGAAACGTCTTGAAGATAAGTTATCCCTCAAAGGAAAATATCTGAAAAATCATAAGATGGCTTCAGTTTATGGCTGCTCTAAGGTTTGCTTTTTACTTGGAAAAATTCTTGGGAAGTAAATTTTTAAAAGTATTATTACAGTAATTATTGAAATTAATGAGCGTGATTTTGTAAATGGAATAAAATTCAAGCTGCTTAAACTTGTTATTTTTGTCAGAGGAAAGAGAAATTTAGTTTTGTTAGAAGCAAATTTACTCATCAAACCCAACTATATAGTGTATTCAAGTCCGAACACAGTAGCGATGCAATCAACAAATCCAATTATAGACTATACAAGAAATAACCAAGTTGTGTAGCATATACAAACCCAATTGATTAGTCTACACACCGTCTACACATAATCCCTCCATGGTCTACACACAAATTAACACAGACATGTACATGTAGCCCAGTTGATTAGAATAACAGGCAACAAACCGGGACCCAATGCATTATCCTAGGCCTTGACATTGTTTTTTAAAATTTTGATGAAAAACAAAATAATAAGTAAAGAAAGAGGGAAAACTAATAAAACAAGACTATTGACCATCAAAAACAAAGAAGAATACTTCAACAAACTTTTTTAGGATTTTATCCACAACCTTTGTGAATTTAAGGACTCCTACACAAACAAGCTTGTAAGGTTATCAGCTTATCCCAAGTGCTCGCAATTCATTTGTCAAATCTGATTGTGAATATTTTTATTTTTGATAAAAGCAATAGATATTAAAGGTGTATTGTCCCATGCAATATATCAACAAATATCATAAATATAGTTTGTGAAATCATTTCAAGTAATATAAAAATTATCAACTTTGAACATAGAACTTAAAAAAAAGGTTTACCGATAATTTTACAGTGAAAAATGATAGTCACTGAAAGTGTTTTATTAATTGTATCATTATTTAGTATAAAAATCAGGGTACACAGGGGACAATCCGTCTTTTAAATAAACAATTGTTTTCATATGAAGACGAGTAGCATAACACAAATATACACGCAATACATACTTTTAGAAAAATGTATCCTATAATCTTTTGAATTCTATACATTGTAAAAATGTTTGTTCATTTGTTTTAGATCCAGTGTCATATAAACAAGGGTGCTTATGGAGAGGTTCTCAAAGTGTTCAGGTCCAATGAACCAAGTCGTGTTTTTGCAATTAAGGTTGGTATTCATATATCCTATGATAAATAGTATGATAATTATTGTACTGGATTCTTGATAAATATTATTTAACTATATACATTATTTAACTATCCACTGAGGAAGGACTAGTGTCCAAAAGCTCTAGTTCTATTTTTGGCTTTACGTTTGCTTTTTAGCTGTTGCTTATCAAATTTGTATCTCTACCAAGATCCAGCCATTGTTTTCCACAGCATTGTTTTTCAGTATTTTGCTATTTATTTATAT